GGGTGCAGTGTGCTGAAGGCACTGCTGTGGACTCTCCACCTGTGTGACAGCGATAAACGCCTCCACTCATCCACACACACACACACACAGAGACACAGAGAGAGAGAGAGAGAGAGAGAGAGAGAGAGAGAGAAAAAAGAGGGGGGGAGAGAGGGGGAGACAGACAGAGAGAGGGGGAGAAACCGGGGGACAGGCAGAGGGAGAAAAAGAGTGGGGGCAGGCAGAGGGAGAGGGAGAAAGAGGGGGGGGGGAGATAGAGAGAAGGAAAAAAGGGGGGGCAGACAGAGAGAGGGAAAAAGAGAGGGGGGGGAGAAGGGGGGGCAGACAGACAGAGAGAGAGGGAGAAAGAGAGAGGGGGAGAGAGAGAAAGAGGGTGGAGAGCGACGGGGGAGAGAGAGAGAGGGAGAGAGAGGGAGAGAAAGAATAAATAAAGCTGAACAGGACACATCAACCGTGCATTCCTTTCATTTCAAACACTGTCCCTCTCTAAGGACAGACAATCACTAGAGCACTGAGGTTTTATCCGTTGTCATGCTTTATCTGCGCTGGAAATGGGACTAAAGTGGTGTTTATTATTTTCTACCCCAATTCTGGTCAGTCTGAGCTTAACCTCTAAAACAAATCAGGTTCGTAGTAATCCGAGTAAGATCAAAAAATTATGAAAGGTGTTGATTCAGACCATGCAGCTGACCTGAGACGCTGGCTACATATAACTAGGCCGCAGTTTGAAAAAATATCAATACAAGATTTCAAGAATGTATTCGTAATATAAAAAGAATAAAATTGTAATATTTCAGGAATAAAGTCATTAAACATGTCATTAAACATGTCATTAAAAAAATGTCATAGTATATGATATTATGGGAAAAAAATCTAGTAAAAATATGTTTAAAATACATGAATAATAGTTTGAGAAAAGTCACAATACTGTGGTGTAATTGTGCGTATCAGCACAATGAAAATAAATAAATGTGTTATTTTACAAATAAAGAAATACTTCATCTTCAGATACAGCAGCACCAGATTATTATTAGTATTAGAAGTTGGAAATGACGGGGCAAGAAATTGTGTTTATTTAGAAGAACGTCCCACATGAACTTGGAGAAATCACAGGCAGTGGTCACCTTCAAGGCCTTCCAGTCTGTACAGGATTGTGTCATTGTTGTGTCTAAAAATGTCTGATTTTGCAGCTTGTTTGTGGAAAACTACTTGAATAGCAGAAATTGCAGTTGCACAAAATTGTCTTTCGCAGTGACGTTTGTTGGTAAATGAGACCTTTTAGCTGTACACATGTTTGACGTATGTGAATTGAAGAGGGCTTTGACTGAACGCGCTTTGTGATGACGTCACATGACGCGCCTTGGACCAAATAATAATTTGCGATAATTTTGAAAAATTGCAAGCTCCTAGGAATATTGCAGTTTGCCTGATTTTGTTCATTTCTGCGATAGCAAAAATTGCTAAATGGTAAATGGTCTGCATTTATATATATAGTGCTTTTACACTGTGTCTCATTCACCCGTTCACACACACACACTCACACACCAATGGTAGCAGACTTGCGATTATTAGTAAATCTAGGTTCAGTGTATTGCCCAAGGACACTTCGACATGTGGTGTCATGTGGGCCGGAAATCAAACCGCCAACCCTACGATTAGTGGACAACCCGCTCTACCACCTGAGCCACAGCCGCCCCAAAAATAAAGAAATATGTTATTTTACAATTAAAGAAATACTTCATCTTCAGATGCATCAGCACCAGATTATTATTAGTATTATATAGTATTTGCTAAAACCTGGAGGGACTGACTATCGATGGTTACATCTGCGGTATAACAGCTGGAACTCGCACACTCAGTACAGCAGTCGATTGCCCGGTGCGTTATGGGGTTATGGCCTCACCAAAAACCTTATTTTTATGGTACAAGTCCATATGACAACGCATTGTGGATTCAGAGTGTGCCGGCCCTCCACTCCTTCAGGATCGACAATTCTGATTAGCGTTCATCTTCACACCCAATATGAACAGCACGCACATGTGACCATCACTAGCTATGAAGGTGATCACTGCCTGCGATTTCTTATAACTTCGCCAAATCCTCATCGTCCCTTCATTTTGAACCACGAACACGATATCTACCGTTTTGTCACAGTATTACGACTTCATTTTCAAAATATTCTGACTTTTTTCTCAGAATATCACGACTTTATTCTCTGCCCTAAAACAGTCGCAGGCTACATCTCCATTCTTACAGTATACGTTAATCTGTACTTGGCGATTTACATGGCGTGGACCAATCAGTAACTCAGGACAATACTCGAGTAGTTTTCTAACACTTTTTAAAGGTCGATTGTATTGTGGTTGTTTTTTTCCATAGGCTCAGTAGGCTAGCAGTTACCAGTGTTCAAAATGTTCCTGTAAACTAACTTGTGAATTTAATCTGCTGTTACCATCATGAGTTGCATCATCAATATGGACAAGCCATGACACTACCTCCACCATGTTTCACAGATGAGCATGCTTGTAAACACACAGGTACGTGGAAACACTGATGAAACTGAGCAAAATAAAGTTTAGTGTAAAGCTATCATATAGGGAACTCTCCTGCTAGCTGAGTATGCCACATTCTGGTTAAACATGTTGAGAAAAAAGAAAGATGCTAGTTTCGCCACATTCAAATATATCTTTCATGCACGATATGAAAGCTCACTGACAAAGGTTGCCCGATAGTTATTTGTTTTTGATACGTTTCCTAGAAAAAAACTTATGACTATGGCCAAGTTGTTTCCTATGCTGGAATTTATATAGCTAACTAGTGTACTATATTTTAGAACACTACATTACCCACAAAGTGCGTTTCCAGGCGACCACACTATATGACTGGACATCTAAGGCCCTGTTTAAACTAGTGTGTTTTCATTTAAAAACGCATAACTTTCGCTACGGTTACGCCTGTCGTCTATGCCGGAGAAAACGCTGAAGATCCCGTTTTAGTTTGAAAACTCCGGGCTCGCATTTCAGTATTAACAGACCAAAACGAAGACTTTTGAAAATGAAGGCGTGGCTCCGCCCACATTCTGCCCCGATTGGGTCTTCTGGATCATTGCGTATCCTTCCCTGTATCGTCAAACCCCTACCATACAACAATTACACTACTTTGATCGTATGAACAACACAGAGACTGAACCGCAAACTTTGCTGACTTTGTCGTCATTCTTAGCAGCCATTGTGCACTTAAAATCTGTATTTTATAATACTGCAGCTACTACATCCGCAAGAGGCGAGCTATGATTAAAGAAATGGACAACAAATTTTTCAAGCGGCGTAAGTCCTACATGGAACACCGGTTTGTTGTGCCTGCCGGTGTCTAGCAACCAACTTCCTGTTTACACTCGTTTGCACATTCCGTGTTCATGAATGGTCATGTGACATGCGTATTTGACCAGTCTGGACCAGGATCATTTTCATTTTAAAACGGTTTTAAAATAAAAACGCACTAGTATAAACAGGGCCTGGTTTAGTACACTGTTGTCTGTGAGCCAGTAACATCTCCAGAGTTTCCAGAGTAAACACACTTGCGCTAAAAAGACACAAAATGAGACACAGATTTTTATATAGTCCTGTTCCTTTAGATCTGTCGTTTCACTGTGTAGTAAAATGGTAAATAAATCAATCAATAAATAACACCAATGTTTTTTTCCTTTGCTGCACAATGCCAAAGTCACTTGGAGCAGGAATGGATCAGCAGGCAGATGGAGCTGTTCTAAATAAATCTCTATTAAACCAACATCATGTGTTTTAAACACTGTGTCAATCTCTCTTTACTTTCCAAAGGCCATCACTGAAGTAACGTGACAAAAAAAATCGAACTGCTAAACGTCTGAGACGTGACGTTATCGTTAACTTAATGAAATCACACTGAGAACAAATGCGTGAATCTGAATTTGTTCCACAGACTCGGAACCTGTTAAACAGTGATGTAGGAGTGAGAGAACAGCAGAGGAAGAACAGGACAGAAGAAACGAAACGTAAAAAAATAAAACATCACGCACACAGTGAAAAAAGATGACAAATTATTATGCAGAGGTGGGTTTTTTCTGCCATGAAAGACTTTTCATCAAGGAGAGAAGTCCTGTTTGTGTGAGGATTTATTAGCAAATGTAAATGTTAAGCGCTGGAGATCGAGCGTGCACACACACACACACACACTTCATTGCACAATTTATTGCTTTATCCTATCGAATAGAACTACAATTTCATTGTTTTACGACACTTGTTTGACAACGTTTGGCTTTTGAAATCGAATGAACGATGCATTAAATCAGCATGGGAGCTGTTGGGAGTTGTAGAAAAGTGCTAGCACTCGCTATCTGCACCTTTATAATCTCACACCGTGAGAGGCGTGTTGTACACATTCAACACCTTCGCATTAAACCGTGTTTCGACTCACTGCACATTCCAACCAGCCAAGCACTGTTATTTTTATGAACTTACGGACCAGTTCATAAACATTTCATTCGACATTTCTATTCGGATCGGGGCTCAGGTTCTCTCGGGATGAGCCGCTGCACAACAGCAGCACATAATAATAATTAGAGAGGACAAGGTTTTCACTTTTAAAAGAAAAAAGGATCAGCCGGTCCATTTCCTGTGTCAGAGAGCGAGAGCAGTGGTGTCTTGATACGATACAGTTTTTAATACAGCGAAAATAAGCATGCACCTAAGCTTTCAATTTTCAACGGAGTAAAAAACATTCAACATTACAAAAATGCAATAGTTGAAACTTAATAATGATGCATAAGTAAATATAACCTCCAACTTTCTGATCAGTAACCCTAACTTTCTTTAAAAAGGTTTTTAGGAAGCTGGGGTCAGAGCACAGAGAGGGTTAAGTGTTAAGTTCTCAAGAACAACAGTAGCAGCTTGGTGGTGCTGGGGCTTGAGCCGCTGACCTTCTGATCAGTAACCCAACTGTTGAGCCATCACTGCCCTAACAGATTTGTTCGGGGAATGGAACCCGGGCCATGGTAGTGAGAGCGCCAAATCCTAACCACTAGACCAAAAGGGAATAGACAAGAGGGCACTAGCAAATATGAACTTAATTAATATAGCAAATATGAACTTAATTAATATAAAAGCAGTGATTTCTTTTGCTAGAATTCAATTACTGCCTGAATGCAGCAGAGATTGTTTTTGTGTAATTTTAGAGAGTACTGTAAGGTGATGTCAGACATGTTTGTGGTATTGGTACCAATGTCCATCCATCCATCTTCTACCGCTTACTCTTTCTTCAGAGTCGCGGGGGAACCTGGAGCCTATCCAGGTTGTGCATCGGGCATCGGGTACAAGACGGACACAAGACGGGTGCACCCTGGACAGGGTGCATCGCAGGGCACAATCACATACACACACACACCCCCATTCATACACTAAGGACACTTTAGACATGCCAATCAGCCTACCATGGGGGAGGAAACTGGAGTACCCGGAGGAAACCCCCACAGCGCGGGGAGAACATGCAAACTCTATACACACATGGCTCCAGCAGGAATCGAACCTCGGACCCTGAAGGTTTGAGGAGAACGTGCTAACCACTAAGCCACCGTGCACCCATTGGCCCTCGGCGGCGTACCTTACCGGCTTTCCACCACACCTTAATCTTAATCTTTGGGAATCTTTGTATTGTCCGATAAGCAGATGTACTGAATTGAAAGTCTGGTACTGAACGATACACTGTGCCATATTGTTACAGCACTAACTGTTAGAGGGCCTCAAATCACACACTTTCCTAGTGCACACGCAATTATAATGCAAATAGTGTTTCACTACGGACATGAAAACAGAATACTGTAATAAATCTAAAAGTCGTGCATATGATGCAAGGACTATCTTGAATCTTGACTGAGAGGAATGTTGGGTGTTAAAATTTGTGAAGCAAAAAAATTCTTTTCACAAGAGCAGCACGCAATAAGATTTTCTCGCGTGTAGGAGTGCACACGTGCCCAGGCCAGCCGATACACGTCCTATTTGCATTCTTCACAAAGCCGTACGTTCCCACCCTGTAGCTTACATACACCCACAGTCTAGATCCAGCAGCACAGATTTTCACCAGTGTTCTGCTCAGTGTTCTGGGGGTTGTGTATGGCGAGATGGAAACAGAGAGCTGCATTGTCTGAGTGTGAACAGTGAATGCTCATATCGCACAAAACGACCCCACACATCACGATGCAGGATCAGCAGACTTTCACAAGGAGTTAAAGTGACTTCTGACCTTGACACGCTCGGATTACTGAGCACATGCCTGCAACAGCACATGATCTGGTCAGTGGTTCAGCAGCAAGGGTTCTGGTTGTACAGTTTCTGGTACCTTTCAAGATTGGTACCAAGGTTCTTTGGTTTCCTTTCACCTCTCAACACCATACTGCATTCTGTGATAACGTTACTACGCACAGAATAACGATGCAGTTTTTATATTATCTTCACTGTGACTATTCCTAATCACTCCAGTTGGGCTGGTTCTTGCTTTCAATTATCATATTTGCTCATTTTTATGAAAAGTGCTAATAACTCTGGAGCTAGCTGTATACTGATCATCACTGAGATGAAAAGAACATAAACTAGAGGATTTTAAATGAATCTTTCACTTGAATTGGAACAAACAAGCCCTGGGGTGATGGTACATAAAAGTAGTGAACAGATCACAAAAAAAATAAATAACTTAAATTCTGAGAATTCCACCTTCACTGAACCCTAATAACTGTGTATTTGTTTGTTTTTTTCTCATTCTCTGTTGAGGTCTTAATACAGACTCTGAGTCCCAGGACTATTTCCCTCAAACCCTATAAACACATGACAAAAATATTTGCAATTTTCTGCTTGTCTGGGCCCTTCAACTGCTGCTCATGGGGAATAAACAAGAAACTCAAGATGCAAGACAAATGAAGGGACCTACCCAAACGTATTGTATTGTGTTTCTTTTATATTAGTCCAATTTTCCAAATGTACCTACACTATAGTGAGCCGTTTTTTTACAGCTTGGGAGAGGAAATTGCTTTAGATGACAGTGTAATTCTGGTAAGGTTTGTTCCTGAAGTCTACAGTCATGCAGTTGACTCAATCTCTCAGTCCTATGAGGTTTGATCGAGAAAAAAAAAAAAAAAAAGGGAATGGAATGGAATGGAATGACCTTTAAAATGGTCATGGGGATTCAACCAAGGGTTGACAGGGAGATTATCACCCTGCAGCTCTCGACTGATTTCCCACTAAGCAGGGTTGAGCCTGGCCAGTACCTGGATTGGAGACCTCCAGGGGAAATCTAAGGCCATGGTATTAGCAAGGCCAGCAAGGGGTGCTCACCATGTGGCCTATGTGGGGCCCAATGCCCCAGTATAGTGACGGGGACACTATACTGTAAAAAAAACACTACACTGTTTTCCAGATGAAATCCCAAGACACTTCTCGTAAAGTGTTGGGGTATAACCATGGTGTCCTGGTGAAATTCACTGCCCCTAATAATCCCCATCTCTGAACTGGGTACTTCACTCTCCTCTCCTCTGCACCTATAGCTGGTGTGTAGTGGGCGTTCTGGCGCATTATGGCTGCTGTCGCATCATCCAGGTGGATGCTACACACTGGTGGTGGTTGAGGAGATTCCCCCCCACACAATGTAAAGCGCTTTGAGTGCCAAGAAAAGTGATATATAAATCTAAGGAATTATTATTATTATCAGGACTCAGGAGCAGCGTTATTTCAGACTATGTGTAGCCAGACTCCAGTAGAAACAACTTACTACTTAAATTATGAATGATGCAGCCCATGACACGCATTATGGCAGCTATATTATATAAATCCCGCCCCTTTGTAAAAAAGAACCAATCGCCTTTTTGAGAAAGACTTTATCAGAGATAAGACACGTACATTATTCACGCCTTTTTTACTTTTCTCTCTGGTCAACCCCAGATGCACTTCCCCAATGGCAGCCAGGAGAACAGGCTTTACTAGAAGATCTCTGGTGTAACATTCAGAGATGTGAAGTCAGCATTTAGTTGGAAGTGTGTTTACAGAGTTTCCACGCACAAAGCGGTAAAGCTTGTCGCAATGGTGCAAAAACTACTAAGTGGACACACACCCTCCTCCTCCACTGCTGAAAAGTTCACCCATACAGACAGAGTGGCAAGCGTGTGACCTTAAACCTGCGTGTAAATCCTCAACCAGAGGATGGGTGGAGAACTCACGATGGAGCCTCACGACGAACAAAAGCCAAAATCGAAAACCACTATAAGCATTGCCTGCTCACCTCCTACAGCCCTGACGCAGTATTCTGTGAAGTGCAAATTACCCATTTGAATAACGGGGAACTCCCCCCTGTGATAACACAATTTGTTGAAGTAAATCGGGTCAGCTACATTCTGCTGAGAACCAAGATCTATTGTGATCCTAAAAAAAAAAACTTTGTTATGCACTGCTGTTTTTGTGCTGCGAATGTGACAAACACTGACAAACACTGACGAGTGTTTGAAATCAGTACAGGAATGCAGGGTTAGCAAAAAGGTGCTGCACAACACCATGTTGGAATGACTGCACGTTTCATCCTCTATGGAAAGACAAAAAAGAAAAAACATGCACTCGCAGAGACGAACAATACATCCGGAGTAAATAAAAGTTCAATAAAGCCGCTAAAAAAAGAAAGGCTCATATACAGGATTTGTCTGCTTTGTGAGGAACCATCATGAGTCAAACGAGACATTAGCCATTGTAGAGCTACTAGTCAGACAGGCATGGCAGATGTGTTCAGACAAATGAGCTTTTGTGGTGGAGCTGAGAGCAGTACTGCATTGGCAAACGAAAGGGGGAGGCATTCAGAAACACAAAGGAATGAAGTACAGTTATTGTACAATGTACAGCTTTCGGCATGCTTACAAGGCACTGGCACCACTGGAAACTGTCCTGGAGGGGCATGTTACACAGCACTGTAAAAGAGAACTGGGTTTCCGGAAAAAAACAATAAGCACTGTCATTAGTGCCATCACCAGCATTACACAAAAACAAACAAGCAGTCAACAGTTCATTGGGAGGGTGGCAATATTAAACGTCCATAACCACGGTGTACAATATTATTATGGTATTTTACATACTCTATACGGCCGAAATGTGTAGGCCCCGGACCATGTGGTTCTTCCCCAAACTGTTACCACAAAGTTGGACACACACAATTCTAAGGAATGTCTTTGTAGGCAGTAGTATTACAATTTCCCTTTAATGGAACTAAACTGCCCAAACCTGTTCCAGCATGACAATGCTGGAAGAGTGGATATTATTATAAGAGAAAAAGGTGACTAAATATGGAATGGGATGTATAAGTACATACGAGTGCGATGGTCAGGTGCATACAAACTTTTGGCCTTATACTTATACACTTATAGTGTAATGGTCAATATACTGTGTGTACACACACACACACACACACATATATATATATATATATATATATATATATATATATATATATATATATATATATATATATATGGCTGACAGGAGCTGAGAGAACCCGGTGTGATCTTCCACTGTTGTAGCCCGTCCGCCTCAAGATTCAATGTGTTGTGCTTTCTGAGATGCTTTTCTGCTCAGCATGCTTGTAAAGAGTGGTTAGGTAAGTTACTGAAACCTTCTTATCAGCTTAATTGGGTCAGGCCATTTTCCTCTCACCTCCCTTATCAACAAAGACACAAACTGTTCTGTGTGAAAATCCCAGGAGACGAGCAGTTTCTGAAATACTCAAATCAGCTCGTCTGGCACTGGAACCATGGCAAAGTCACAAAGATCACACGTTTTCACCATTCTGATGTATGATGTGAACATTAACTGAAGCTCTTGTCCTGTATCTACATGATTTTATATACTGCTGCCACATGATTGATAAAGTTTAGATATAGCTCTAGCCATGTAATTATATTGGTATTGCATGTGTGTAGATCAGTCACTACACTGGCCCATGAGCACAAATATTTGTAAAAACAGATTATTCAGTGTGAAGAAATTCAGTGTGAGGTAATTCAGTGTGA